TCAATATGCTTACTCTGTTTGTTTTTCCGTACTAAATACCTAGGTAAATATTCATGAGAATTAATGATCCCCTGTTTTCACTCAATCGATAAAAATAATTTAGTTTTGACCAAATTATTCTTTATCCAAGTTAAAGCAGTTTTGTGGAACAGCTATAATGGAACATGACAAACGATGTAATTTTAAGCTTTCATTTCATTTGAACAATTCATGAAGTACGTGTAAGTCGTTTGATAACGGTACAAAATCCCACTAACTTTAAGAATAATTATTAACTTGTTACCGAAAGGATAGCAGAAAGTTACGCTTTTCGCACGCAACTAAAGTCCACTCGCTACGGAATCATCATGTTCGTTGTGACGTCGTCTGAGTAGAATATAAACAAAACCTGTATACCGATAGTAGTGTTATTTGGGCAAACAGTTTAAATATCGAAGAGCCGCTTTATACTTAGTTTTTCTTTCTATTAATCAGAAAGCTATGCGCAATACGGAAAAATGTTTAAAAGCAAGAATTAAAGATCTATAAACTTTGCTTAAACAAATCTTATCACCTTTTTCTTTAACATTCATAGTGTTTTGTAAAAAGTTGTTGATATAAAAAAAAACGTGTTAAGAATTGCATCAAAACCTTTAGACATAGAAGATAAAATGAAATGAACTTTCTTTGTGTAAAATTATAAATAAATGATTTTTAAAAGATTTTTTTATATCTCTTGTAGTTTAAGAGATAATAATTAAAATCATTAATTTTACCATATATCACATTTCACAAGAACTCTATATTTTCCGGGAAAAATATAGCCTTGATCCCTCCTGGCATGGCTTCCTATCTGTTGTGATGTTTTATCGCAACCGATTGACACATTCTGAAGATCAGCCCAGACAGACAAATATTTTTTTAAATGTTAGCCCTGATCTTAAAAGCAGCCAGCCAGCTTTCAATATTGTAGGCAGATATTAACATTTTATTTACATGTATGTACGAGATAGATTATATATAGTGTATGTTAATATATAAAGAAACATTTTTGATATATCATATTATATCATCATTCATCATCATTACAGCCCTTCACAAGTCCACTGCTGAACATAGGCCTCCCCCAAAGAATGCCACAAAGCACGGTCCTGAGCCACCTGCATCAATCGACTTCCTGCATGTCTTACCAGGTCGTCACTCCATCTTGTGGGGGGACGCCCTACACTTCGCATACCGGTACGAAGCCGCCACTCGAGAACCTTTCTTCCCCATCGGTTGTCGGTTCTTCGAGCTATATGGCCGGCCCACTGCCACTTCAGCTTACTAATCCGTTGGGCTATGTCGGTTACTCTGGTTCTACTGCGGATATCCTCATTCCTAAGTTTATCACGCAGAGAAACTCCGAGCATAGCCCTCTCCATAGCTCGCTGAGCGACCTTGAGCTTTGTCATACGGCCAGCAGTGAAGGACGGACACGTCTTAGTTCCGTAAGTCATCACTGGCAACACGCACTGGTTGTACAATTTCGTTTTAAGGTTTTGAGGTATGTCTGACAAGAAGATGTGTCGTAGTTTCCCGAACGCTGCCCAGCCGAGTTGAATCCGTCGATTGATCTCTCGGTCGAAGTTGGACTTACCTAGTCGGACTATTTGTCCCAGGTAAACATACTCGTCAACAATTTCGAGCTTAGTGTTCCCAACAACTACCGGCATAGGTGTGACATGGACATTAAACATGATCTTTGTTTTGTCCATGTTCATCTTAATTATATTATATATATTATATTAAACATTTTATTAAGAAACATAATAATAAGTTTTTATAGAATTTTTATTTCCTATTTCATATTTAAAATTAGTAATTAATTTTATGTATGTTATTATCGAATTTAATAATTAAGTTAAAAGGATATGGAATTTAAATTAATTACATGCTTTAAAATAATTTTAGACTTCATACTGTTATACTATTCAAGACCAGAGAGAAAATAAAACAGTTTTTCCAACCATTACACTTTATTTCACTCCACAATTTAACTTATACACAATTCAATTTAACTTCACGTCTAACTACGACGACAAGTGTTGAGCGAATGCCACTCCCAATCGACTAATCAATCTTTTATACTTGTTAGCAAGGTGGGGCGGCGTCGTTTCCGCCGCACTCTTTTACAGCAATCAAAACATTATCCTTCCGGTTAAATTATATTACTCTACCCATTATCCGCAATCATTAATGTATATAACTAATAATAATTATAGTATAAAGTCAAATCACTTATCGAGTAATTCCTTTAAAAACAATAATATAGTGGTTATTAATCTAACAATAGCAATTATAGTATAAAGTCAAATCACTTATCAAGTAATTCCATTATAAACAATAACATAGTAGTTATTAGTTTAACAATAGTAGTTATTAACCTAACAGCTCGGCCATCCTACTCAAAGCGTGTCCCATCGCTTCAACACTTAAACAACACCGCAAGTATAAAAGAAAGTAATGAAATTACAATTTGTTTCTAAAACATTTAATATATCCTAAAGTAAACTAAGCATGATAGATATAAATACAATATTAACCAAAATAATAAAATCAAAATTTAAATTTGACTATCAGTCATAAAATCTATAATTAGTATTAAATCCATAGTTATCATTTTTTTTGTTTGTATAATATAACCAATGAAAATCTAATTTTAACTATTCAGTGTCAATAGTATTATTATCGGTTGAATCAGACTCAAAATCTCTGTTGAAATTCATCCATGGATGAATTTTGTCAATCGACACTATAGCTTCATATTTTCTACTGTTTTTACGAGTAAGTGGCGTCTTCAACGAGAAATCTGTCATTTGGCAGCACTTTTACTATGCGATAAGGGCCTTGAAATTTAACTACAAGTTTTTGTGATTTTCCGTCGTGTGGAACTTGCTTTTCTAAATGTATTAAGTCACCTTCATTGTACTTAGTTGGGGGCTTTCTACGTTCATTAAATCTTTTTGCATCTTGAATTTGTTGTGCTTTAATTTTTGTACTAGCATCTTGCCTAAGTTCGGCTAACTTTTCTAATGGAGTTCCGTTTAATGTGTTATTAATAACAGAGCTTAGGATGCCTTCTGATCTACTGGTTATATTAAATCCAAAAAGTAACTCGGATGGGGACTTTTGTGTAGTTTTATGCTTAGTTGTATTTATACCGACTTGAATATCCTGTACATAATTGTCCCAAGATTTATCGTCTTTACCATGTCTAGATGCCGATAAAGCATCTAAAATGGTCCTATTAAAGCGTTCTACTTGACCGTTAGCCCTTGGAGTAGCAACGGCGTTTGTGATGTGTTTGATACCATACGACATTATAAAATCCTGAAAAATTTTACTCGTGAAGCTAGTTCCCTTATCAGTGATTAGTCTCGTGGGGACGCCGAAGTAACTTATGTGGTTTTTAATAACTTGGATGCTTGTCACGGACTTTGTATTCTTAACAGGAGTAATGTTAATATATTTTGTAAAGCCATCAATCAAAACTAACAAATAGCTATTCCCTTTCTTACTTTTGACAAAGAGTCCTAAGTGATCTGCGTGGACTGTGTGGAAGGGAATACTGACCTTATTTATGGTATGTAACTCTCCTTCACGTTTTCCTCCCGGCACTTTGTGATGTGCGCACTCGAGACAAGACGTCACATATTTTTTTACAAAGCGGCGTATTTTAGCGAACCAGTAATGCTCTTGGATTCGTTTCAATGTTTTTTCAAAACCACAATGCCCGATGTCGTCGTGGTTTATTTTGAGTATTTGCCAACGTACTCCCTTAGGTATTACCGTCTTAGTGAATCGCCAACAATTCGATAGACGCGGTCATTTCTAAGTTTGTAGTTTTTGATTATGTCAACATATTGGTCTGCCTCGGAGTCCGTTAATATGTGCTTTATTTTCTTTATTTCGTCATCAGCAGATTGCACAGTAACTATACAGTCCGATTGGGTTTGCTCTATTGCCAACACATCCCATATTTGACGATCATCTGCAATACCTTCAGATGAACAGTCCACCGGGTTTCTACTAAGCGCATCTGCATGAGACATTCGAGCGCCTGGTCGATATTCAATCGTGCAGTCGTATTCTTGTAGTTGGATCCACCAGCGCGCAATACGGGCTACCAAATCTCGTTTAGTCAGAGTGGATCTAAGGGCGTTACAATCGGTTACAATTTTAAAGTGTATTCCTATAAGATAGACTCTAAAGCGATTCAATGACGCAATCACTGCTAAAGTTTCGAGTTCGAATGAGTGAAGTTGACGCTCGTGTGCACTTGTTTTCCTACTAAAATAAGATATGGGCTGTAATATGTTCTTTGAATTCCGCTGTAGTAATATTCCTGCCACACCTTCCTTACTTGCGTCTGTGTGAAGTTCTGTTTCCGCACTAGGGTCATAAAGGGCGAGCACTAGTCGGTTGACTAGTATTTCCTTAATTTTTAAAAAGGACTCTTCTTGGCTTGGTCCCCATGTCCAACAAGAGTCCTTCTTAAAAAGGCTAGTCAATGATGCCGTGATTGTAGCGTAACCTTTGATGAAACGCCTAAAAAATCCAGATAATCCAAGGAACTGTCTTAATTCATGCTGGTTGCGAGGTTTCGGAAATTTTGAGACAGCGTCTGTTTTCCTACTACCTGTGCGGATTCCATTAGCACTTACTTCAAATCCTAGAAAGTCAATAGTTTTATAGAAGAAATTGCCTTTACTTAACTTGAGGGTTAGACCTCCTCTCTTTAAAAGCTTGAGTACCTCTTCTAGTCTCACAATGCCTTCGTCAAAGGTTTTAGACGGGATAAGCACATCATCCATGTATACAATGGCATACTTGATTTTAGCCTCCATAAGTATTTTGTTGATGGTGCGTTGAAACACAGATGGTGCATTTACCAACCCAAACGGCATACGGTTAAATTCATACTGCCCGTCGGGTGTTACAAAAGCAGTCTTGTTTCGAGATTCTTCAGAAATTGGTATCTAGTAATAGCCAGAAGCCAAATCCAATGATGTAAATAAAGTATTACCTGCTAGTAAATCTAATTGATCTTCGATTCGAGGTAATGGATAATGAGTTTTCTTCGTCTTTCTGTTAAGAGCCCTGTAGTCGACACATAGTCGTTTCTCACCAGTTTTCTTTTGTACCAATACAATTGGGCTGGCATAGGGCGATGATGATTCTCTTATGATTCCACTGTCAGCCATCTCTTTTATCATGTCTCTTACTAGTTGTCGCTCAGTATAAGACATGCGGTAGGGACGGTAAACGACAGGTTCAGAGTCTTCCAACTCAATTACCATTTCTGTAGCATTCGTAAACCCAAGATCATAAAGTCCATTTGAGAAACACTCCTTGTATTTCGAAAGTAATCTCTGTAACTCAAGCGTTTGTTCATCAGTAAGCTGAGAACTACAGTTAATTGTTTCATCTATTCCAGTTGAATCAAGAATGACTTTACATGAATCCAATACGTAACCTATAGAACCCGTAGGCATTGAATGTTTCTGTAGGGCTCTTGTTAACAGTGAATTCTTTCCGATGCGTATATCATTTATCGGTATATTATAGACTAAGAGAGCACCTCAACCATTCTTGATTTCGTATTCTCCAGGTAGAATATAAAACTCTTTTCCAGCTGAACCACGTAGCGATCCGATAACACAAATGTCACAATCAATGTCCGTATTGGCACATACTTCGACCGTTTGCAATGCGTTACTAGGAATATTGGTGGAATTTTCGGTTAATAAACGAATTTTGTTATGGGTTATCCTTTGGAAGATTAATTTACTAGGGGTTTTGATAATCAAAATATCAGATTTTTCTGTAAATGAGTGTCCCAACAATACTGGGTGATTAAGAACGTAATCGTCAACTATGTAAAGTTCTATATCCTCCGTCAAGCCTTGCACTGTTACGGAGGCTAGCGCTACGCCTAATGGTCTTACTAAGTTAGACCCTATCCCTTTTAGTACGGGCAACTTAGTTTCGGAATTAATATCGAGTCCCATAGTTTCTGCATAACTTAACCTAACTAAAGAACACTGACTCCCCAAGTCAACATAACAGGTTGTAGAACATCCATTAACTTTTATGTTGATTATATATTTATCACAGGGGCAGTCCCCTAAAGTTACTTTCGCTACGTGTTTCTTATCTTTAGAATCAAGAGAAGTTCTAATCCTGTTATATCCTGGCTCAGATGCTAATTTGTTTCTAAAACAATCGTTAGACTTATGCCCTAATCTTTCACAAATTGTGCACTTTATAAGAGGCTTATCACACCTAAAACTAGGATGCCCTATTTCGCTACAGTTAAAACACCTAATATTATTATTAAATGAATTAGTTTTAGACGGCCCAGGTCGGTTTGACGCCAGTAGAACCTTACGATCGCTATATTTTTGTATTGGTGCGTCGAAGTTTGGCCGGGATTGGCTTGTTTTAACCGTCTTAAAATATTTAAGAAAAATGAGCAGCCTGAGCCCCCACTTTAATAGCACGATCCTCAACACCGTAAATAAGGCAGTCCACAGCTTGTCTACCGAAAATTTTACAACGGTTTAATAAATTGATCTTTGCATAATAGTAGTGCTCCAGTGACTCGCCGTATTTTAGTTTCTTAGATAACATTTCAGTCAGAAGCTCGGCGTAGTATTCGCGGCAGGGAAATGATTCTAATAACTTTTTTTTCCATTCGGGCCATGTATATAATAGTGAAGGTAATCCTTGAAACCAGGTTTTGGCAACACCACTAAGTTTAGGTAATGAATAATGGATAATTTCTTTCTCATCCCAGCTATAAATTTCAGCACACTCTTCTACTTTGTTTATCCAAGTTAAAATGGTTTGATCTTTCGACAAAGGGTCAAATTCCGGTATGACGTTAGTGTTGAAATCAAGTTTAGGTCTATCCGAGCTCCTGACTTTACTTAAAATATCTAAAAACTTATCTAATATAATATTAGTTTCTGGTTTCTTACTTATACTACGTTGCCGCTGACGCCAAGTATGCTGTGAAGAACCATCCTCTGAAGATGTCGAATGACCGCGCTTTCTTTTACTCCTCGATTCCAGTCTACGGCGAGAAGACCGTTTGTCCCTTTTCTTTCTTCCATCATTTCCATCCTCGCTACCAGACTCACTAGTCTGATACCATGTCCGTACTCCCAACCTTGATTGTCCCTCCTTATCCTTGTAACGCACCTGCTCTATCCTCGAGCAGGGCGTTTTCCGTATCAATAACGGGCTGAAATTCCGTCCTTGCACCTTCCTTGGTACTCCTTGATTAGTTAGATGCGCCAGTCCTTCCCCTGGGCTGGTCGCATCGTCACAAATCTCATTCAATCCCTTTCCTCGGGTCATCCGATCTCCTTGCTCTTGTCCTTGAGCAATTTCATCATCCATATTGTCTCCAATTATCTGAAACTTACAGGTATAAGCTTAGAACTTGTCCAGAGATTTTCTTTTAATGTACATGGCGAACTCCTCTACTAGCGCGAACTCGAACTTTTCTCTCCTTTAAAGGTTATACAAAAACTAGTTAAGCTATGTAGGTCCTTTTAGTCATTATATCTATTATTGGTACCGGTTGATCATACTACAATAATTATAATATTGACAAATTTATTTGGTTTTCATAATGTCGTGTATCACCAAAAGAAACGGAGTTTCATTATCAGTATTATGTTTTTAATTTTCACGACGTATACGAAAAATAAGACGGTAAAAAAAACTAATCATATAAATGTCCTTTTTAGCTATTCGCCAAATTTTGAAATTAATACAGTTATACTTTATGGCAAAATATGCCAATTATCAATTTATATAAAAAAAATACTTACATTATTCGAGCGGTGCACGTGGCAAGATAATTAAATATGTATCCTGATGATCCCACTTCTGATCTGTTTAACTATTCAAGACCAGAGTGAAAATAAAACAGTTTTTCCAACTATTACACTTTATTTCACTTCACAATTTAACTTATACACAATTCAATTTAACTTCACGTCTAACTACGACGACAAGTGTTGAGCGAATGCCACTCCCAATCGACTAATCAATCTTTTATACTTGTTAGCAAGGTGGGGCGGCGTCGTTTCCGCCGCACTCTTTTACAGCAATCAAAACATTATCCTTCCGGTTAAATTATATTACTCTACCCATTATTCGCAATCATTAATGTAAGCAACTAATAATAATTATAGTATAAAGTCAAATCACTTATCGAGTAATTCCTTTAAAAACAATAATATAGTGGTTATTAATCTAACAATAGCAATTATAGTATAAAGTCAAATATATAGTATAAAATCACTTATCAAGTAATTCCATTATAAACAATAATATATTAGTTATTAACTTAACGGCGACGAGGTTCGCCACCCGTCACGTCCTGTCTCCCGGAGGGGCGAAAAGTAGATTGCGGAGGCCCGTCTGGCTACGCTGAATGTATGTGGAGCAATGAATGATAAGATGGATGAAGTATGCGAAATGATGAATGATAGAGGAATAGATGTGTTATGTGTAAACGAGACGAAACGAAAGGGAAGAGATGTCACTGCACATGGCATGTATACCGCTTACTGGTCTGGAGTAGACGAGACCGAGCGGGCATGCCAGGGAGTCGGTGTCATCCTTTCAGAAAGAATGGGTCAATGTGTGAAAGAGTATGAATGTGTTAGCCCAAGGCTGCTGTGGATACGAATGAAAGTGGGCTTAAAGAAGTTGTTCGTGCTAGGGGTGTACGCCCCAGATATGTCTAAGCCCACTTATATCCGAGAGCAGTTTTGGGACATGGTAAGGCTGGTGTTGATGAAATGTAAGGAAAATGAAAATATTATTATGTTAGGTGATTTTAATGGAAGGGTGGGGGTGAAGAGGTCTGGTTATGAAAGGATATTAGGAACGTTTGGCGATGAAAGAATAAATGAGAATGGTGAAGACCTCCTCACCGTATGTGTGGAAAAGAATCTTTTCGTGGCGAACACTTTTTTTCGCCATAAGAGGATTCACATGTATACATGGGAAAGAGGGGATGATAGAAGCATGATAGATTTTATAATTGTGGATGAAAGAATGAGGAGCGCAGTGGTAGATACAAGGGTTTACCGGGGGTCCAACGTAGGGACGGATCATTACTTGGTTTTATGCCGAATTAATGGTCTATTCAGACGTTGGCGGCATCGGACATCGGTGTCTACCACTGCGTTACAGCGTATAAGAATAGAGAGGTTACAAGATGAAGGTGTGAAAGAGAAGTATAAATGCAGACTGAGGGAAAATATAAGTGGGTTGAATGAATTATGTATGAATGATTTAGAATTGAAGAATGTATGGAATAATATTAAGAGAGTTCTGGTGGATGCAGCCACCGAAGTATGCGGTGTAAGTAAGAGAACGAATGAAAGGAAAAGTAATACGTTGTGGTGGGATGATGAGGTACGGATGGAAGTTGAAGCAAAGAAGAGAGCATGGCTAGATTTACTAGCAACTAAAGCTGGTAATTCTGGCGGTATGAATGATGAGATTGAAAGAAAAAAGGCAAACTTTAGACGTATAAATAAGAGAGTAAAAGAAGTTGTTGAAAGGAAAAAGCAAGAAAGGATAGATAAAAATGATAGAAGGATATCTGATAACTTCCAGGAAAATATTAAAATGTTCTGGAAGCTCGTAAGAACTGCCAAGGGAATTTCAAAACAGCCTAGAATGAATGCTATACGAGACGAGAATGGCTGCATGCTGAATGATGAAGTTTCGAATTTAAAGAGATGGAAGGAATACTTTGAAAGCGTGTTTAAGAGTGAAGAGTCGTCTGAAATAAGTGAAATAGAAATTCCGGAAGAAGTGGAGAGAGGTAGGGAGATAAGTGTAGATGAAATAATGAAAGCAATGAAAAGCATGAAAGCAGGTAAGGCAGCCGGATATGATAGAGTATCACTCGAAATGCTAAGGGCTGGTGAGGGTGTGGTTGCAGGCCTGCTGCACACCTTGTTTAATTTATGTTGGGAACTGAAACGGGTACCGGAAGACTGGTGCAAAGCCGTTATAGTCCCAATATATAAGGGAAAGGGGTCGCGGCAGGACTGTAAAAACTACCGTGGTATCAGCTTGCTTAGCATTGTGGGTAAACTGTATGCTAAGGTGTTAATTGAAAGAGTTATGGAAGAAACTGATGGAAAAATTTGGGATGTGCAAGCTGGATTTAGAAAGGGGATGGGGTGTACGGATCAAGTCTTTTCCATGCGCATGATAGCGGAGAAGTTTTTGGCTAAAAACCAGAAAGTTTTTTGTGCGTTCTTGGACTTGGAAAAGGCTTATGACAGAGTGGACAGGAACGTGTTATGGCAAACACTGAACTCATTTGGGTTGAGCGCTGGCTTGATACAGGCATTAAGGTCTCTTTATAGGGACTCTAGTGCTTGTGTCAGGATCAACGGGGTCTACACGGACTGGTTTGGCATTCATAAAGGTGTCAGACAGGGATGTGTGG